CACATTCTGTCATTTGGTATCCCATCAATTCCCGAGGCCTATTATCAGAGAGCTCCTTGGAGACAAAGGTAATAAAGTTTCACCTCACACACTCTGAACATGCTACTAAGAGAGACTATTCCTTGGAGAGGGAGATCATGCTTGGAAAGGAAGAGATCTGGCGATAAAAAAAAAGGGAAGATCCTCAACCAGGTGGACAGACATAGGGCGTGCAGCAATAGGTTAGAGTATGTAAGAGATTGTGAGGATAGCACAGGATAGAGCGGGGTTCAGATCTGTTGGTCATAGGGTTCCTACGAGTTATACTCGACTTGAAGGCACCTAAGAACAACAACAACATGTCTCAATAAGGAAAGGTCTTTAGTCTAAGGCAGGACCCAGGCATTGCATGGGTTTTGGCCTGATAATAGCTTAAATCTTTAAAACAAAACTTCAAGTCTTGGTCTTTTCCTTAAAAGCTAACAACCATAGTCATTTATCTGGGTTAAATATGCTCATTTACGATATACAACTCGAGCATAGAGATTCTCACTTTAGCTAAGCCAATTCCAAATCATAGTGGACTTTACAGGTCTGATCCAGTTTGTCTCATAGAGTTTCGAAGTCTAAGTTTTTATGGGAGCACATGGCCTCATTTCATCCCTCAGAGCTGCTGGTGTATTCAAACTCCTGACCTTCTGATTAGTGAGCAATCATGTAACTGCTTGTACTATCAGAGTGTTTGGTAATTAATTGAAAGGTTGGTGGTTCAGATCTATTAGTTGCTCTTAGTGAGGGAGAAAGATGAGACAGATCATTTCTAAAAAGATTTACCACTTTGAAAATCCTATAGGGAAGTTCTACTCTATCCTGTAGCATTACATGAGTCAGAATTGACTCAATGGCACTGTGTTTGATTTTTCTCTTTTGCTTTTAGGAACACCTAAATAGTGATGTCCAATTAACATTGATGTTGTTATTCTGTGCCACTGAGTACAACTAATAGTGACCCTGTGAAAAACAGATCTAAACTCTGTCCTATCCTGTGCCATCCTCATAATCTCTGTCACACTTGAGCCTATTACTGCAGTCACTGTGTCAATGCATCTTGTCAAAGGCCTTCTCTTTCACCAATCCTCTACTTTTTCAAGTATAATATCCCTCTCCAAGGCACAGACTCTCCTAGCAACATGCCCAAAGTATGTGAGACAAAGCTTTATAATTTTTGCCTCCCAGGAACACTCTGGTTGCACCTTTTAGACATATCTGTTTGTTCTTTTGACAGTCCATGGGATAGTCTTTGGAAGCAGGAATGGCATCCACTTCCTAAATATCATGCGTCCTGAAACTCTGTGAACTTTGATAAATGTTGATAGTTGTAGAGGGGCTTCAGGCCTTTTGTTCATGAGGTCGCTATGAGTCGTGCTCGACTTGAAGGCAATCAACAACAACATGGCATAGTCTAACTAATACTCTAATTCACTTTAGAGTTCAGGGAATTGCATTGGTCTAGTTTGTTTGCTTGATGGAAGACAGAAGAGTATTTGAAGTTGTTTACAGATACTATTTAGCCTTGAAGAACTACACTTGTAATGTGAAAAGTAAGAGACACAACCTCTTTATTAACTTCATCCTCTTGGCATTTAATTGTGCTCAAACTCTCTAGCTTCTAATATTCACTTTGTAAAAATTCAGAAGATTTCAATTCTTCAAGTAATGCCTATTTCTTTCTTTCCTTTTTTTTCCTTCTGCATGTACAAACATCTTCAAAGAGTTGTCTGCATTCATTTACTCCACTTCGTCAGGCCTCCCTCACTTCTCAGCTGGGTTTGGGAAGCTCACCAGTCTACATAACACTTTTTTTTCAAGGAAGCAGGTGATTTTTTTTCATTACCAGTCCTTGCCCTGTGTGACCCCTGGAAGCTTTCTGCACTGCTGTTCACTTTTCCTTCCCCTCAGGTTTGCTTCCTCTGGTGTAGCACTGTCTCAAACTGATTTTTCTCCTACTTCACTGGATCTGTCTGGATCCTCCCCTCCCCCCCAGAATATTATAATAAACACAAAATTCCACTAGAGAAAGATTTTATTTTACATCAAACTGAGATTTAGGTGGTCATACTTTAAATGGTTATCTTGGAAATTGGAATGAACTTATTTCTGGAGGTATGGAAGAACTATGGTTAGCAGCGAGGGAGAAAAGTACTGGCTTAAAAGGGAAGGAGGAAGAACTAAGGGACAGTGTAACGCAGTAGGAGAAACTCGGATTCAGAAATCAGTTTCTTGACCCTTGGGAACCTTAGGACTGTTACTGGTCTAGATTTGTTAAGAGGCCGTAACTCTGTACGTGACCACAAGGGGGCAGCATCAATAAGCGAATGGCATGCCCTGAAGACAAGTTCAGACCCTTTGAACACTGTTTTGACAGGAGGGAGATAGCAGTGTCTGTGTGTTTCCTGCACACTCAAGTTTCCATTACAATTGTTGCTCTTGTTGTATACCGTCTAGTTGCAACGAACCTATAGGGGATCCTTAGTGGATATTCAGAGACAGTTAATTGCCCGAAAGATTGCCCATCTTTCTCCAACTGAGCAACTGATATATTGGAACTGGGAAGTTCAATCATGTTCAACAACATTCGCCATCTCCCTGGTCTCCTGAGCTCAGTCCCTTTGGGTAAGCAGCAGGGACTCAGCTTTCTCCTGGCGCCTAGGTGGCCTGTGGATCCCAAGGAGCCCTTAGTTGTTCACTTCATCTCATCTCATACCCCGTAGGGCCTCTGTTATTATGTGCCCTAGAGTCGACTGCGACTCTTAGTGTCCCTGTGTGTGTACAGTAGCTCTGACCTCTGTCTCTAGAGAGGCCATATATGGAAGGCTGCCTGGAGCTGAGCCATTCATTGGTGGTGCTTGCTGCAGTATCTGCCTGGAAAACAGAGGTAGGGGCAGCTTGATCAGGCACTGGGTATCCTGCCCAGGAAAGTCAGGCATTCTGCATATAAAGAGCAGTTACTGCTCAGACAGCCTCAGCCTGCTTGAAAAGCTAGTCTTCTGGAGAAAATCACTTGTGCCTTCTCAGATTACAATAGCTCTAGTTTTCTGTCTTTATTATTCAGGAACCTATTCAAAGAGAAATTTCTTCAAACCCTTGTGAGGTTCATTTGAAAATTTGCCTATACCTTTCCCCGGAACAGAAGTCCTGGGTCCAGCTTCCTACCCTTCAGTGAAAAAACAGGGCAAGGGGGACTAATTTATCCAGGGAAGACGAATGAGCATGTGTGTATGTGTGTGTGTGGTGTATGTGTGTTAGAAGTAGGGATTGTGAATGACAAAGGAAACTGGAAAATGAAAAACTAACATGTTGTGAAGGGCCTTGACTTCCAGATATGGAAAACCGACTTAATCCAGGGACTCACTTGTGACTTCCTCAACAGGATCCCAATTTGTCTAGTTTTGTAGATGGCAGCAGTGTGAAAGGTGAGATAGACTATTGTTGGTAGCAGAAATACCAGTTAGTAGGCTCTCTTTTCATGAGAGAAGGGAAGGGATGATATAGTAAGGCAGGGAGCAAGGGATAGGATGTCAAATAAGAGGAGAATCGAAGAAAGATTAGTTGGCAAAGCAATATTGCATGCAAGGAATTAAAATGGACTAGCTGCCCAGACTTGGATGACTCACATGGGATCAGCAGTGGGGAAAAAGCTCAGGCTTAGAAGAAATTCTTTTTGAGGCAAGATAAGTGTGGAGTTCATGCTTTATCCAGGTAGAAACATCAAAGAGGAATGAGGTTGTTTATGTCTAGAGCTCAGGAAAGGGGCTTAGCAGAGAGTGGTCTGTGTACATAAAGGTTTAATCTGGATGTTGCACAATTACCATAGAGAGAAAGTGGGTGATAGAATTGTGTGTCTCTGGATACCCAATAGTGATTCTGATGTGAACTAATTTTGTGTCCCTGTCTCGGCTACATCTGGTTCCTGTATCACCTGAACATAATATAGAATTGACTCTCATGTGGGTCTCGAGAGACCCTGGTGGCATATTTTGTCCTATTCTTCATTGGAGACTGAAAATTGTATTCCTTTCTCGCACCCCGTAGAACACCCGCACTGCTTTCTCCAAATTTTTTTTGATGAAAAAATAGCATCTTGGAGGTAAGGGACAAACTTTTTTTTTTTTTTTTTAAAGTCAATTTCTAGGCTCCCGACTTTGATAATTCTGGTTTGTTTTGGACCCAGTTTAGGACCAAGTGGATGGTATTTTAAATAGTTGCTTCAGATCATTGTTATCAGGGAAATTTGAGAAATGCTTAAAATTAGAGAAATGTTGTAAATAACAAAAAAGCCTGCCTAATGAAATCTAGTCCTAGCCGGAGCCACTACTTTAGCTTTCCTCCTATATTGTTGTTTTGGTCTATGTAGAGTTGGAACCGACCCATAGCTGACTGTCGGGTGGGTTTCCAGAGGCAGTTAATTGCATGGGAGGAGGCTGCCCATTCTTCTCCTTTGGAGCAGCTGGTGGCCTTGAACCCCATGCTTTCAGGATTGCAACACAGTTTCTTGTCACTAGGCCACTAGAGCTCCTTGTTCCTATACTGGGTTACAGAAAGTCTTAGCAATCACAGATTGAGCCTTTGGCTGTAGACTCTAATTTAGTCCCCATATATTCCAGAAAGTGGGGCCAGTGTAGACGGCTCCTGCTCAGCCTAGCTACTCTGTTGCAGTACCGCTGGTCAGCAATATTAACTCTGAAAATGAAGGACTGATGTACATGTTCTTATAGATGCTCTCACTTTGAGACTGACGAAACAATGATGAAATCTGTGCAATCAGCCCTGTAATATCGGGCCTAAGGGCAAAGTACAGAGTGTTCAGGAAGAAGTGTATAGAGGCCTAGAGTTCAGATTTACTAGAAGTATTTTATACTTCTGCTTTCTACCATCATTACTCTTTCCTTGTAGGTCTTCTCTCTCTGAAGCATGACTGAATGACATTCCTCCTTTATGTTTTTATAAACACTGGATTTAGGATGTTGAAGTCCCACCTTATGGTCCCTGCTAAGATAGCCACTCCAAATGGAACTCTGGTTCACCCGGCATACTTCCTACTGGTTGGCATCCCTGGCTTGGGGCCGAATGTACACTTTTGGCTGGCTCTTCCTCTGTGCTTTATGTATGCTTTGGCTAGCCTGGGAAACCTGGCCATCGTCCTCATCATCCGTGTAGAAAGGCGCCTGCATGAGCCCATGTACCTCTTCCTGGCCATGCTTTCCACTATTGACCTAGTTCTGTCCTCTGTCACCATGCCCAAGATGGCTAGCCTCTTCCTGACAGGGATCCAGGAGATTGAATTCAACATTTGTCTGGCACAGATGTTCCTCATCCATGCTCTGTCAGCCATGGAGTCAGCTATCCTGTTGGCCATGGCTTTTGACCGCTTTGTAGCCATCTGCTATCCTCTGCGCCATGCTTCAGTGCTCACAGGACCCACTGTGGCCAAGATTGGGCTAGCTGCCCTGACCAGGGGATTTGTATTCTTCTTCCCACTGCCCTTTATTCTGAAACGATTGTCATATTGCCGAACACATACCGTCACGCATTCCTTCTGTCTTCACCAGGATATTATGAAGCTGTCCTGTACTGACACCACAGTTAATATAGTGTATGGACTCTTCATCATCCTCTCAGTCATGGGTGTGGACTCCCTCTTCATTGGTTTCTCCTACATCCTCATCCTACGGGCTGTGTTGGCTCTGTCCTCTCGTGGAGCAGCGCTCAAAGCTTTCAACACCTGCATCTCTCATCTCTGTGCTGTCCTGGTCTTCTACGTGCCTCTCATCGGACTCTCTGTGGTGCACAGACTGGGCAGCCCCACCTCTCTGCTCCATGTAGTTATGGCTAATGTCTATCTGTTGTTGCCACCAGTTGTCAACCCCCTTGTTTATGGAGCCAAAACCAAGGAGATCCGGTCACGGGTCTTCCGTCTGTTCTCACAAGACAGCAGATGAGCAGAATAACCTACCTTGTCAGCGTCTTCAAATTACCACCAGAATGGAAGGATTGTAACCCTGTGGAATGTCTTAGTAGTTGGGGTGTCTGACCCGCTGAGCTCTATGTGTTTAAATGAATCTTAGATTGCCATCTCCCTCTTGTGTCCATGCAGAACAGTTTGGGCATGCCACTCTGGAGAAAGATCTCTGCGTGTTGTCTGTATATATCTAGTTACCCCATTTGGTAGTTTTATCTTCCTCCTCTTTCAAGTAAAAAAAAAATTTTCTTTGTAAATAGAAGGTAAGGCTCATGATTTTTTTTTCTAGCCTAGATGTATGATTTTAATTCTTTCTGCCTTTATTATTTCATGTTGGTGAATTTATATTGGGTTGCAGAGGTCAACTATAAGAAGCTTCTTGTTCAAAGTGGTTGAATAGCCATGATTAGAGGTTAATGAAGGCAATTGAGTAATCAATCATAGTTGGAGGGAAAGAAGTGATTACAGAAAGTTCACATGAAATGTTTTAATTTCTAAATGTGAATCTTGTTTTATTTCTATGGGATATAGAAATCTATTTGAATGCACATCTTTGTGACTCTACTCAAAATCCAACTCATAGTTGGAACCAACTCATAGCTGATCTCCTTTGAGTTTCCAAGTCCATAAATTGCAGAGAAAGAGACTGCCCATCTTTTGTCCTGAGGAACTGTTGGTGGATTTGAACTGTCAGAGAGACCCTTCCTTTGAGCTAGCGTGCAACTCCCTTTAGACTCTGCTGCCAGGGCTACCAAAAACTATTTACTGTTAGGGCGCTGTATCTTCCAGATGTAGTTGTAACTGTGTAGTTTGATATTTTTTTGAGTATGTGTAATTTGTAGTGTGTGTATATGCCTAGAGTGAATGTCAGCTTTGTCTTGGTGAGTGTATGGTAGCTGTAACCTGTCATGCATGCTTAATGAATAATGCCTCTGACTGTGTATCTATGAACTGTATTTGCGTGGCATCTGTTAGATGATGTTTAATTATACTGATAACCAACTCTGTAATGTGTGCAATATCTTAACTTCCAGCTCTTAGGATTTGATAGGTCAGAGAAAGTTTGCAAAGAATAATTGCAGATCAAAATCAAATTATATTCATCTGAGGCAGAGAAACACTATTCAAATTGGAATTGGAAGATTCAAAATGGAAAGTATTACAAAGCAGCATTACCTTATAACCCCTCTACACTATTTCCTTTCTGTAATAATAATTTTGTGAAACTTAAATGCTGTCAATGTCTTTTGTAAACTGTGACTTTTTTAAAACATGAAAGCATTTATAATTCCAATTTGCCTCATTACACATCTTTAGGAAACACCATCTACTTTAGGGTCAGTGTTGTACAACTAAGAATTATGCAGTCCAAACAGCACGGGTCATATGTAATGCCAATTAATTGTGATAATAATAATAATGAATTAAAACATTTTTTATCACTTTGTAAATGGTTTTCATAAAACTTTATAAAAGTTTATATGTGTTTTCTTGTGCTGTATTTTGATTTTAGAAATGAAACTCAAAGCAAGTCCTATGTTGTCAGATGTTCTTTTAAATCTGATCTTTCTTTCCATGTTGTTGTTGTTGTAGTTAAGTGCTGTTGAGTATGACTCATAATGACTCTTTGAACGAGAGATCTGAACTATATACTATCTTCTGCCATCCTTACCATCTCTGATACACTTGACCCCATTGCTGCAGCCATTGTGTCAATCCATCTTGAGAGTCTTCCTGTTCTTTCCAAGCGTGTCCTTTTCCAAAGAATAGCCTTTCCTACCAACACGCCCAAAGTATGTTGAATGAAACTTCACCATCCTTGCCTCCAAGGAGCACTCTGGCTACACTTTCTCTAAGACATAACTATTTGTTCTTTTGGCCCATGGGACAATTAGCTCACTCGTGCTCTCTCTCTCTTCTATTGGTTTGCTTACAAAGTTCATATACATTATTTTTCAAACTATTCTCTATTCACATTGTGTTCCATACAATCATTCCCATGCATTATGTTTTATAATATTAATCACCATTGACTATGCCTATCATTACTCTGTTTTTTCAGGTTCTTGCTGGATCTTCTCCTTTTCCTTTACCCACTCACTTCACCCACCAAATTGTACAACTTTGTGATTTTGCCCCTACCCATCCTCACACCTCTGCTTCTAGCCCTTTCCCCGGTGGGTCCCCCATACACATTTTACTAGTTATTCTTCTATTTTTACAATAATGGTTTTAGGCAGTATTTGTTCTTATGAGACTGAGTTAGTTCCGTTAGCAAAATGCTCTCCAGTCTCTCCCATGTTATGAAGTATTTTTTAAAATCATTGTTCCTTAGTGTTTCATAGTATTCCATTGTGTAAATGTACCAAAATTTCTCGATCCATTCAGTTGTGGCTGTACATTTGGACTATTTCCATATTTTTACCATAGTAAATAATGCTACTATGAACATTGGAATACAAATCTCCATTGGTGCATCAGTTCTGATTTCCTTGGGTTATATTCCTAGTAGTGGAATAGCTGGCTCATATGGAGTTTCTAGGTTCAACAGAAGTGGTTGTATCATTTTATAATCCCACGAAGGGTAAATGAGAGTTCCTACCTTTCCATATCCTTTCCAGCATTTATTGCTTGCTGCCCTGCTAAACATTGCTGCTGCAACTGAGGTGAGGTGGTACCACAATATGGTTTTAATTTGCATTTCTCCTATTGCCCATGATTTTGGGACTTTCCTCATGTGTCTGTTGGACATCTGAAAACCTTCCTCTGTGAAAAGTCTTTCCATATCTTTTGCCCATTTTGTAACTGGGTTATTAGTCTTTTTCTTCTGGAGGCCCAGCAATATCCAACTCCATGACTAAAAGGCATCAATATTTCTTTTGTCATCCTTATTCACTGTCAATGTGGAAGAGGGATTGTAGAATTGGGATTAGTTTGTATCTAGGTTAGGATCACTAGTCCTGACTTTTGGGTCAGTTACTTAACCTACCATACTTTAGAATTTTTAAAAATTATGTTGTTGTTGTTGTTTGTTATTGTTATGTGCCATCAAGTCACCTGCAACTCATAGTGACCCTATGTACAACAGCCCTAAACCTTGCTCTATCCTATGCTAATCTTATTGTCTCTGATGCACCTACTCCATTATGCCAGTCACTGAAATCAATCCATCTCATGCAGTATCTTCCTCTCCTGTGCTATCCCTCCACCATCCCAGGCATGACGCCCCTCTCCAAGGACTGATCCTGCATTGCAACATGCCCAAAGTATGTCAGAGAAAGCTTCAGAATCCTTGCCTCCAAGGAGCAGCCTGGTCTCACCTTCTCTAGGACAAACTTGTTTGTTCTCCTAGCAGTCCATGATATATTCAATACTCTTCTCCAGCACCACAGCTCAAAGACATCAATTCTCCTTCTTTCATCCCTAGTCCAGAAATATAGTCTAGACTGTTGGATGTTAATGAGGATTAAATAAAATAATTGATGTAGAACTACATGGAAATTTAAAAAATTATAAGGCTTGGTCACAATCACTGTAAATGATAAAACCAATACAATGAGATGTGGTAGAAAGGTAGAAAGAATCAGCAAAAGAGATGAAGACCTTCAAGGAGATGGATTGACACAATGAGGACCATAATGCACTTGAACATGACAGAGATCCTGAAGATGCTGGAGGATAGGACAAAGGTCTGATCTGTTGTTTATAGAGTTACTATGAGTTATAGTCAACTGAGGGTACTTAACAACAGCAATAGCATGGTTATTCTAAATGAAAATACAGTATTCAAAACACAAACATCGTTACCTTTAGTCTCTATCTTCTATGCAAATGCCAGAAACTATTATCTTTTCTTTATTGAAATGTCACTGATTTTAGACTAATTTAGGACCTTTTTCCTAGGAGATTATAGCATATCTCCAACTATTTCAGAATCTCTTTATTTTGATTGCTGGCAGTGACTTGAGTAATTGTAACCCATTTTGAAATCCTTCAGTTAATTGCTAAACTAGATCAAGGGCTCCCAGAGCCTCTAAACCCAAAGAAACAAAACCCCCCCCACACACACTGATGCTATAAAGTCTATTCTACCTCATTAAAAAACTCTTGTGGGATAGAGTACAACTGAACTCATGAGACTTCAAATGTTAAAATCTTGCAGTAGCATGCTGACACATTTCTCCTGTTGTGCAGAAGAATCACTTAAAATTGAAGATCATTTGATTAGAAACTGAGTACTTAACACTGCTCTTCCTTGACTCTTCTCCTTTATCATGGACTTTAAACTTTTATGTGGGGTTCTCTTTATCATAGATTGTAAACGTCTCTATCCCATTTGTTTCCAAGTGAAAGAGCTTAAATCTGAGTAACTGTTTATTTCTTCATTATAGAGCTAAGTAGCCACATGCTCAAGGCATGGGAAATTGAGGGACCTAGTAGAGGTGACTCAAAGGGGATCGTAGCTGATTGACCACTGCTGTTGAGTTATTTCTGATTCATAAGGACCACCCATTGTGTTTCTAAAGCTGTTAATCTTTGTGAGAAAAGACTGTCCATCATTTCTTTACAGAGCAATTGGTGGATTTGAATCACTGACCTTTCTCTTAGCAGCATACACTAACTCACTAGAACTGCTTAAAGGGAATGATATTGTGTGCCATGGAATTGAAATCAGTGTATAGCTGATACTCCAGTAGGCTTTCAGAGGATGCAAATGGGAGGGTTTGCCTATCTTTCTCCTGAGGAGAAATTGGTGGATTTTGAATCACCTGCCTGTGAGTTGACAGTGCAACTCCTTGTCCACTAGGCTACCAGAACTCCTTTAAAAGGAATGATAATGAGTATCATAGAATCAAAAGAAGAAGGAAGGAATACCCAGAATCACTGTACCAGAAAGAATTGATTGACAATAATTTCAAAAGTACCATATGAACAGAAGCCAATGTTAATGAAGCATGAGATAGAAGCAGCATTAAAAAC